AGAAGAAGAAGGTGACTCTGCGATCGGCGTAGTGGGGAAGGAGGCGCCGTCTAAACAGTTCCCTGATTGGGACCTATTTTGGTTCCAGTCGGGGTACACTTTTTGGTCCAACTTTCTCCAAATTGAAATCCATTTGCACCGTTGCGATCAGACAGTCGAGCTCTATCCAACGATATACTTTTCATAATTATTTGTAATAATTTTTCTGACATCATATTTTTGGGTGTTTGACTTTAACAGAGTCAAAATTGGTTTAATTGACCTTTCTCATAAAAGGTTCTCTCATTTAATTCATATCAATTATTCTCATGATTTATTTCAATAAATCATTACAAAGTTCACATCATAATTAATTAATTTATTTATTCTTGATTTGGGTCTGTACTCAGGTTCCCAATCAAGACCACACAAATAGTCCACATATTGGATTTATCTCGATTAGACTTATCCAGATTTTGATATTGGATATTAAAAAATATTTCATATCGGCCCAAAGCACAATAATAATCAAAACAAATTTGTTTAATCGAATAATTATTTAATAATAATTCTAGGGTATGTTTCGGGGCGTTACAGTTTTGCACCAACATTTTGTGTTGGTGTAAAAGTAATTTTTGTTAAACGCACCAACATTTGTGTCCGTGTGAATTTTTATTAACGCACGAACACCTGTGTCGGTGTAAACCATCGAAATGTTTGTGCAAACCTGTGGTGTACAAATGGGGTATATTTGTTGGTGTAAGTGTAGCATGGTCCCATAAATTAATGTTATTGGCTAAATGTAAAAGTTGTCCATTTACAAACTTGAATACTAAAGTTTAAAACAAAAGAATTGTAATTGTTTTGTAATAACTGTAAAATAATTTAAGGTCAAAAATATGTACATTGAAAAACAAAATTTAAAAAAACTTTTCTGAAATTATCATTTATTCCTATGCAAAGAGTAAGTTTGATTTTTTTTGTAGAACATCACTTTGTCATGTTGACACAAGCAAAAACTTTGATCCTCATCCCATGACATAGAACCATGAGCTTTTTGGATTTTATTCACTCAAAAGCCTCATCACACGACATAGAACTGCATGTTTTTTGACACTCACTCAATATAAGTCTCATCACTTGACATAAAACCAAATGCTTTTTGACTTTTCAGTTCACTCCAAAACTTGGTCTCAAAGGGTGTTCTTTGAATTTTTTTGATTTTTTTTAAATCTTACAATGCAATCATTGAAATATCAATTTTTCAGAAAACTATACTGCTCATACTCAATTTGAAGTAGCGAAACAACATCATTTTAAATGACAAGTTACAAATGTTTGACCTTAACGTATTTTACAAGTTGATATTTATTCACTAAATCAATGATTTTATTTTCATCACATTAGTATCCAAATTTATTTATTTACAAAAATTATTAAAGTTAGCCAATAAAAAGACTATATGTGCAATATAAAGAAAAAAATTAAAAATTTTGGCTAATTTTTGCATAAGGGGGCTATTAAAAATCATTCTAGCTAGGACTGTGCATTATTCGGTCCAAACCCGGACCGACCCGAAACCCGGCCAAAACCGGACTGGACCGGTCCGGACCGGTCCTTATTCGGTCCGGTCTTCGGTCCTCACATTTCCTTTATTCCGGTTCCGGTCCGGTCCGGTCCGGTCCACCGGGTTTCGGTCCGGACCGGTGGACCGGTTACATTTTATTTTTTTTTAATTTTAGTTTCTATAAAGGTTTGTAATATAGTTTTTTAAAATTTTTTTCTTATACTTAAAATTACTTTTACTTTAATACTAAAGGTTTTTCAAATGTTTTGATTTTATTATGCAATATAATTTTTTTTATAAATATTCCAATTCAAAATAAGATACCAATTCTAATGATATTTATAAATTTTTAACATTAAAAGTATGAAAAAGTAAATATTACCTTTGTATTAGCGATCTAATGTATTTCAAATTTATGTATCAATACTATAACTTATATTTGTACTTTATCACCAATAAAACTCTAATAAAAAACATTGTAAACAACATCATGAATAAAAATAGTAAAAAATGTATCCTTTGCCAAAATAAACTGAAAACACAAAAAAATTATAAAAAGTAAAAACCAATAAGAAGAAGAATATTCCATTTTAAAATAAAAATTATAAACAAATTTTATGCAATTTGAATATAGGATATTTATTTTTTTTAAGTTTTTAAAAAATTAAAAACATCAATATTTGAAAATGTTTAGTGTATGTTATACATTAAAAATTAATTGTAGTAATATTTTTATACAATTGAATAGTTTAAATTAAATAAACAAAATCAAATTAAAAAACCCACATTAATTCGGTCCGGTCCGGTCCGGGTTTTACCGGTCCGGTCCCGGGCCGGTCCTTATCTAAATCGGTCCGGTCCTCGGTCCACAAAATCTCTCTTATTCGGTCCCGGTCCGGTCCCGGTCCGGTCCGGGTTTGACCCGATGAACACCCCTAATTCTAGCTATGAAAAGAATAAAAAGTGTAAAACAAATTTTTTTTAAAAATATCAATAGTGATAACTAGATTGATTCAGAGTATTCGGGATCGGGCAGAATGCTGCCAATTAGGTGTTCTTAGGCTCACCCGAATAAACTTTTCCACAGAATGACCCAGTAGGAATGGTGGGACAAGTTCGGCTGCCGAAGGCGTCACCCTTTACGTCCACTTAAGTACCATTCCAGCTTAGACAATCATTCCGTACACGGTGTAGAGATCAGTATTAATATGTAAAATGCAACAAATTGTATAAAAACTATTTTGAAAAAGTTTTTCCTAAACAAATAAAAATATTCTGTACCAAACTCCAATCTCCCCACACTTAGGGTTGACCTCGCCCCCGAGGTCATGAAGCGATAAAAACAAGAGTTTGGGACAAAGACAATTCTCAATTTTTTTGGAAAAGGTTTTTATAAAAACTTTATGCACAAAAGTTAGTCATTTCCTTTTTTTGTTGAGTCAAAATGGTTCACCAGCATTCCTAATTCCAAGCTCCAGTACATAGAAACACGGAAAAACGCGTAAAAAGGAAAAAGAAAAATAAAGTTTATTCACTTGAGTTACCTCCCAAGAAGCGCTTCTTTAACGTCACTAGCTTGACGTTAGCCCGTTTTTTACGGGACTTACCAATCCGAGAGTCATAAAATTTGACCTTTTTGACTCTCTTCTGATGCCACCTTTGTTTTATTTTTATCCAGTCAAAGTCCAGGATCTTTGACTCATTCCTGCGGCTTGGTGGCAACAGGAAAAATTGAGGAGACTCGCCTTGGACGGGTGGTGGTGGGAGTCTCCTCGGTGTATCCACATCATTGGCCTTCAGTGCCAGGATCTGATTTTTTAAGTCCTTAATAGGCTGACTTTCTGTTGATGGCTCAATGATTACGACATGTCCTTCCCCTGAGTCTTCAGTGTCGCTCATCAAGAGTTCGTCCCAGCTCATTTGACTATAACTTTCCTTCGGGTAAGAATGGTCGTACCCGTCAAATAGGGAGTCAAAGAAGGCTTCGTCTGAATCCTCCAATGAGACTTCAGTGTTAAGAACTTCTATAAACGGGATGGATTCAGCATCACAGGGTAGTTCCTCGTCTATAGATTGTTCAGACTCATTAGTATCAAAGGGGTTAGTGGTGGGCTCAGATTTCTCCAGAATAGGTTCCTCTAGAGAAGTGTCTTCAACACATGTAAGGAGGACAAGTTCCTCCAATGTTTCTGGTGTAGCGGGTGAAGGCGATTTCGAGACAGGACCCTCGGTATGCTTCACCTCTTGTACGATTTGACTTTTTGGCCTTTCAAGAAGCATCACCACTGTACCTTGTGCAATTATTGCTGCAAGTGTTATCTTGTTTTCGATATACAATGGTGATGAAGTTTGTGGATATTCAAGAATCAAGACATTGTTGGATTCAGTTTCAGATTCTGTCTCAGATTCTTTGTCCTCTTCTAGAGCAAAAACCTTCTCCATCTTTTCTTGTTGTTGATACTGAATCTGAAGAGTTTGTTGTTCCATAGCCTTCATAAAATCTTCTAGCATCTTTTGCATCTGCTCCAAATGTTCTTGTTGTTCGCATTCAAATTTCAACTCTTTCTGAAATTGGAGCAGTTTCTTTTCTTCTTGGACTGTTTAAAGAAATCGTTCTCTTGCCTGGATTGCATTTCTGTTTGCTTCGATTTGCTCTTCACAAGTCAGAGAGTAATCACGAGAATAGGGTGGTTCAAATGATGAACACTCCACCGCTAGTTCTAGGTCAAGATTACGTATTCTTTCCTTAGTCCACAGAATTTCTTCAATACGTGGATCTGACTGGTCATCGTACATCGGCCCTTGCTGGTCATAATCATCATGGTCACCATGAGGTTCATAATAATCCCCACAGATGTCTTGGTATGGAGAATATCCAAAACTCTGAGACGGGGTATCGTATGGTGGTTCCTCATGGTATGGAAAATAATCAGGTCCATTATTGACTGAGTAGTCATCATAATAGGAATCCTGATGTGGATAGTAGTTGGACTGTTGTGGGTAGTAATTGGACTATTGGGAAAATGATGGTGGGTTGTTGGGTGGTTGGTAGAAAGGGGGCGGATCGTAGTAATCATCTCGAAAATTCATTTTAATGATTACTACATGTGGCTTGTGGAAAAGAGGTGAGAAAATCAACCTTACCGATCTTCACCTAAGCTAATTAAAAAAATTAAACTAAAACCGTGTCATTCCCCGGCAACGGAGCCAGTTGATGATTTAGTTTTTCGGTAAGTCAACCTTCCCAATGAAGGGTTAGTTTTCTCCGAGTGTCGTGTCTCTCGAGGAGTGGACGAAGGGAATTAGCTAATTTTTCTAACTAGGCGAAGGTTTGGACAAATCTAGAAGTCTTCCCGATTCGATTTGAAAATAAAAATAAACTAAATTACTTGGTGTTTTTTGAGAAAAAAAGAATAAATAGTACGGGTATAGGATTAGACTTTGGGCCAAGGCATCATCTGAGTTAACTACTGTTGTCACATATTTAATCAATAATTGGAATAAATATATTTCTGTCACAAATACTTCATTAACTTATCCTCTCTCAAGGTATCATTAATGTGTTCTAAAAAGTTTGGCTTAATTAATTTTATATCCTCATAGACAAGGTAAAAACTAATTTCCAATTACTCCCTCCGTCCGGATTATATGTTCCCGGTTTGACTTTTGGTCACTTTTAGTGAGTGTTGACTAATGATTAGATTGCCCAAAATACCCCTGCCCGCACACCAAAATATCTCTGCAACCCTCAACACCACAACCACCCAATCCCCATCCCCACCGCCCCAACCGTCGCCCAACCCCCACC